TAAACCTCGTCTATACCTAGCTGCTATCCGCAGAACCACACTTTACCTAGTGCCCACCACTCCTTACCTGAAAACCTCTTGCTTTCATTCATTTCTCATCACACTTTTACTGGACCCGTGGTCTCACCTTTGCTCACACCAGTGGATTCGCATTCCAAGATCGCATTCATTCTCTTCCATTTTGCATTTGCTCCCTTTGCATTTTACTTGAAGGAGGTGCTTCATAGCAATCCTCTTAGGTCGATATAGCACACCCGCACTCAGTAGGATTTCATTAGTGCTCTAGCTTTCTTGCTAGCTAGCTATTATTACTTCTTCACACCGTCATCAACGTAAAAATCTGTTTCTCTTGGACTTTGTAGGTTAAATCTATACAACACAAAACCTACTGCAACTGTGCCCACTGTCTCAGCTTTATATATTATCGTCCATTTCTATACAAGACCACATGGCAATACAATCAATACTTTACAACATGTTCGGTTGCATTATAGAGACTCACATCATTCTATGCACTTCCATAGCACAGTGCGACCTGTGTTGTATTTTTTTTGGTGCACCTGGTGCTTCAGCGTGCACTTACTAGCACAAGCACTTTTGGGTGTGCCACACTTTATTTTGTTCAGATTTGACCAATTGATACTTGCTACATTCCAGCCTGTTAGGACAATTCATCTTGATTGATTACACTTGGTGGGCCTTGTTGCGCTGCAATGTGGCTGCCCATGGAACTGGAGTGGGCAGCCACATTGCAGCGCAACAAGGCCCACCAAGTGTAATCAACCAAGATGAATTGTCCTAACAGGCTGGAATGTAACAAGTATCAATCGGTCAAATCCGAACAAACTAAAGTGTGGCACACCGCGCCAACCACAAACCTGACCGAGACCAACTGTGCCGACACGCTGTCGATGCTTGAATCACACAAGATTCAATGAATGATAGAATCCACGCCAAAACAATTAGATTGAAAACCAAGTGATACAGGCATAATTCGCCGACCGACACATGACTTATTGTACAACTATGTAATTGGCCAAATGATCGGAGAACGGAATGCATGGCAGAAGCAGGTGGTGTGATAGCAAATGCAGTTCAACTGCAGCAGGAGCACATAAAGGATTGGCATGTGCTGATGTTAGGGACACCTATCCAGACGGGAATGTGGTGCCCTGCATGTCAGGACGCCTGGGAGGGCAGGAGACTGAGGTTTGGCTGACTCCAACAGAAAAGGGCATGGGAGTAACCAAAGGGCTGAACACACCATTCAGGTACCTCATGCCGAATGTGGTGGCCGAGGATTCATTGCCATGGCTGATCATGGGTGGTGGGAACGATGGATTAGCAAGGACCCGCTCCTGCCAAAGCTTCTCAACCAGGCCAACAAGTCCATTCACCAAGGTCACCATGGTGCCGACATCAAGCTGCATGGAGGAAAGCTCGGCACACATTGAGGAGATGCGGGCTTCAAAATCCTGCTCCATCACATTTACCCTGGCATTAGCATTCTCCTCGGCCATTTGCATAGCCGTGACTTGAGTAGTCAGGGCTAGCACATGTTCGAGGATGGTGGATGATGAAGGTGCTAATGGAAGGGAAAGGGGCTCGGCTGCAGGGGTTGGTGGGGGAATGGGAATAGGCATGTCGCCAACTGGCTCCACCCAATGGTTGGCAGGGAAGTCATCCACCGAAGCCATGGCGCCAGGCTGGTCAACCATGATTTCATCGTCAGGCTCAACGGACATCTTGGTGGCAATGTCAGTGTGCCACTCGGCACTGGTATCATGATCCATGCCGGTGTAGAAGAGGAATGGGAAGTGGGTGAATATGAGTGGTATGAGATAACTCAAGTAGTCCTCGATGAGCGAGATATACATCGGCCCAAGGGGATTGCTACTGAGAAGGTTCCTCTAAGTGTATAATTTGGAGGGAACACTGAACCGGGCGCTTGGTCAAGCCTGGTAAGACGTGCGACAATGAGTGAAGCGCAAGCGAGTGAAAGCGACATGAAGTGTCGATGAGCGATAGCGGCCGATAATAGATAATGGCGTGCAACTTATAATGGAAGCGCACGCTAAGCGGAAGCAGTGCACGTGCGGGTGGTGGAGCGCAGCAACTCTTAATGAGTCAGAAAACTAATGGGCAGAGTTTTTAGTAATGTACGGCGACGGCACTTGTATTTTGCTTTAGATACTTTAGATTTAGAGGGAAACTTAGACTTATAGTCCAACGATGTGTGGGCAGAAGATAGTCATTATACAGTTTATGCGCATCTATATATACTAAGTAATGTTAAGTGCTAAAGCGAACCGAGAAGTGAAGTGGACACGAGATAATATGTAATAAAGGGTCCATAACGGAAAACATACAAAATATGGCCATAAGCGCCGAAGATATGTCAGAATCAATGAAAATAGAATTGGAATACATACCGATGAACCGAATGGACATGGAATGGATGGACGGAGGACATGTGATGGAACCGAGGATGTGTGCGGCGATGCACGACTATTGAGCGACTGGAGTGCTGGCGTGCGCGAGCAGCCAACGAAGCGTGGGTGAGATATGAGTCGCGCTATATTGGGAAGTGATAGAGACAATGGGATTTTAGATCCCTGCAAGCCCACAGAGATATCAGTCTCTACACCGGCGTCAGTATCATGATCCGTCTCGGCATCGTTGTCATCGGTGACAGACACATCTATCACTGCAGGCATTTTCTCATTTTCCTCCAACAAACATCCAAAAAACATTGAATTAGAAGATAGAAATTTCCTTGCATTGTGTGTATCAAAACATTGAAAAAAAATAATGAATGTATTGAAGATTTTCTGTATGCAAGACATAATCTAAAAATGAGTCATTTTCCCTCAAGAAACAGTCTATATTTTTCATTCATCATTCCTCAAATAACAATTTACAATCATGTTAAATTTTTTGCCTCTGTTTTTCCAATGTTCTGTGTATCAAAAATCTCAATTACTTCATCCTGTTCACCATATGTTTGATCCAAGAACATTGAAAAATAATATAACAAATAATAATAAATATTTTGACAATGTTTTGTTAAGGAAAAACAAAGAAACTTTCAAACTTTCATTTGTATATTTGATAAGAGGAAATTTATGAAACATGCCCCATGTTTTGTAAGAATAAATCCATAATGTTTGCAGTATATTCCTCCTGCACAACACTTGAAAAACATTTATTATATTCAGAGAAAAAAAAAATGAAACATGATTGCAGGATACTCTGCCTCAAAACATGCACAAATTATACATTGTTTTCTGCACACAATAGATGGAAAATACAGCATTATCCTTGAAGGAACATGATGAATTTTGGCATCATGTCCCACACACAGAAAATCATTGAAACATAAATTATTATTTTTTCAATGTTTTGACAGACAAAATGAAGGTACACTGGTCCAAGTAGTGCTGCTAAGAACCAAGAACTATTCAGCGGGGAAATGAGAACAAAATGGTGTGACAATATAGAAGGGTTTTTTGAGAAGATTTTTAGTAATGGTGAAGCAATGAGTATAGAGGCAAGGTTGAGAGTAGGGGCACAAGTGCCAAACCTGGGTCCAGTTTTACCAGAGTCGACAAACCCTGGATTGAACCTTTGCAAACTGTTCAGAGTGGTCATGTTTGGTTTTTTTGGGGTTCAAATGTGAACCATCCATGTCACAAGCCAACAACTGGACTGCTTGGTGCAGCACTGAGGCAGTCATGTACTAAATACACCAACTGCAGTTTCACAGGCAGAAAGAAATGCAAATTAATGCCAAGTGATGTCAAGGAGCAAAAGCAGCTGGTTGTGCATAAGAAAGGCTGACTTAAAGGATTCATCAATTTTCTGTGTCCCATGGGCCATGACATGTGTAAGGATTGTCTATCCTCTACGCATGGCCCGCACCTCAAAAAGGAAATCTGGGAACTGTCATTCACAAAGTCCATGTGACTCACGGATGCGAGAAAGCTCTACACTTCGCATCCGAATTATGTGGATACATTCTCTCACTTCTCCATTCTCTCTTTTTCCGTTATCTTACCTTGTGCTCAAACTTCACGATACCCTTGTTTCACCAAAGTATTTCCACCTCGCCATATGCTCCCCATTCTTATTTCAGCCTAGTAAAGTACTTGAAAATGTATTTATACTGCTCATGTACACTCATAACAACAGCAGAATCATATGTTGGTTCCCTGCTCAAAGCAAACTTTGCTCTACAGAAAGTCTTAGCCTCTCGAAATGTTTCGTCTTCACACTTGCGCCCCTACTCTCAACCTTGCCTCTATACTCATTGCTTCACCATTACTAAAAATCTTCTCAAAAAACCCTTCTATATTGTCACACCATTTTGTTCTCATTTCCCCGCTGAATAGTTCTTGGTTCTTAGCAGCACTACTTGGACCAGTGTACCTTCATTTTGTCTGTCAAAACATTGAAAAAATAATAATTTATGTTTCAATGATTTTCTGTGTGTGGGACATGATGCCAAAATTCATCATGTTCCTTCAAGGATAATGCTGTATTTTCCATCTATTGTGTGCAGAAAACAATGTATAATTTGTGCATGTTTTGAGGCAGAGTATCCTGCAATCATGTTTCATTTTTTTTTTCTCTGAATATAATAAATGTTTTTCAAGTGTTGTGCAGGAGGAATATACTGCAAACATTATGGATTTATTCTTACAAAACATGGGGCATGTTTCATAAATTTCCTCTTATCAAATATACAAATGAAAGTTTGAAAGTTTCTTTGTTTTTCCTTAACAAAACATTGTCAAAATATTTATTATTATTTGTTATATTATTTTTCAATGTTCTTGGATCAAACATATGGTGAACAGGATGAAGTAATTGAGATTTTTGATACACAGAACATTGGAAAAACAGAGGCAAAAAATTTAACATGATTGTAAATTGTTATTTGAGGAATGATGAATGAAAAATATAGACTGTTTCTTGAGGGAAAATGACTCATTTTTAGATTATGTCTTGCATACAGAAAATCTTCAATACATTCATTATTTTTTTTCAATGTTTTGATACACACAATGCAAGGAAATTTCTATCTTCTAATTCAATGTTTTTTGGATGTTTGTTGGAGGAAAATGAGAAAATGCCTGCAGTGTATAAACAAGGTGTAAGGCACGGTCTAACAAGGAAAAAAACCCTTACCTGTATCCTCAACAGCGTCCTCAGATTCCACAATCGGAGTTGGTGGACGAATGTGGGAGATTGCTCTGGTGGTCCTGGAGTGGGCCTTGGACTTGGAGGCCGGTGTGGCCTTTGACCAAGGATGTGGCTTTGAGGCCTGTGTTGTTGAAGGACCACGGGTATCGACCGACACTGGTTGGTTACACCGCACCTTCATGAAGTGGCACTTTGCGCAGGACTTGATGGCCTGCCCCTTTCTGCCAACCACAACCAAACAAGACTCCCCGATGCATCTCTTGCACAGTGGAGTGTACTATGAGGTGGTTAGTACCCTGTCACTGCGATGAACTTGGCCAACTCACCTCCTCAGCACTGGACTTCAGTAGCGGATGCCCTCTGATAGGCTCAGCGATGTCCACTGCCTTCTGCTTTGCTTTACCCTTTGCCTGGGCCCGGCTGATCTTTGGCTCGGCATCCGGCTGATGATGGTTGAGGGACGAGGACTGACACAACAAGGTAAATCTTACCTGTTTGCTGTGTTTGATAATGCCCTGTGGAAGAGTCAGTAATGAGATGAGCACTGAAATTGCTGCTGTGCTTACCTTTGATTTGGCCGGTGCTGCACCGGAAGTTTCAAGGTTCTTGGACCGCTGAGGCAATGTAAGCATTAGGTTTGAAATGATGAGCGTAAATCTTGCCTTAACTATAATGGTCCCTGTCGGCCGCCTGTCCTCGTCCTCGGTGTCGGAGATGATGGCCTTCGACACATGCTTCAAGACCTTCTGTTTCTTTCTGCCTGGCTCGGCATCTGTGCTGTCCTCTCTGGATTGACATGTCCCGCGGTCAGACAGTTTGCCCTTGTCGGTCATCTTGCCAGGAACATCCAGATGGTGTGCATGACCGGCACGAGGAAGTGAATCGATCGGCGGTATTGACATCTGTTCTGGAGCTGGGGCAGGACTGGGGAGACTGCTGGTGCTGGTGCTGGTGCTGGTGCCAGTGCTGGTTGTTCTATAAGGGTGTTAAGCTACCACTGTGAATCTCAAGAGTGCGCGCTCACCATATCTGACAGTCTTGGCGAAGAAGGGATGTGACTCCATGCATGGATCATCAGCCCATACATGGCTCCATTGATGAGCGAGGCCTTGGTTCATGGTCGCCCAGACCTTGGCAGCCACAGAAAGGAGGAATGGCAATATGACTGAGCAAGTCCTGCTGTGCTGCTGGAGGGCTCGAGACTGTTGATTGTTAGCCAGTAAATAACCACTGTAAATGAAAACACATACCACTTGTCACGCAATGTCATGTGCCTCATCAACTACAGCTCGCCCATCTGCTTCCCACCGTCCAATTCGGCTGACCGAATCACACACAGACTTGTCGGCGAGCGCCAAAACATCATTGGATTCCTATTGTGACGGCATGGTGGAGATTTCATGACTGAGAATATGAGGGTGATGGTGGCAAATGTGAGCTGCAAGACAAGCGGAAGAGATAGGAAAAGTATTGACCTAGTTGTGTATGGAACGACTTTGTGTGGATGTGGGTAAAACTTCAGAGAAGTCAAGAGCACCACATTGTGACACCGCTGGAACTCACCAAAATCTGGAAATGGCCGAGGTATGGCAATGGCCATTGCAGTTCTGCATTGTTCATTGACCACTCAGTTCAAATCCTCCAAAGATGTCTATGTATTCCCATGAGAATCCAGTCGAGACAACTCGAAGGCTACAGGATGAGTGCATCAAAGCCGACTCTAATTTCTTGCTCACATGGGACCAGTGGGTGCCACCAAAGTTGTGTCCTACTCCATCCCCTCAAAAAGACCGGATTCCTGTGGGCGACAATCATATTGGCATTCGACCTAACCAAGCTACTACATCCGGCCCACCTCAAGTGACTAATTCCAAAATCTCAACCATGCCATCTAAAGAGACTTACACCGAAGCACTTCCTATGAACAATTTTGGCCATGAAGGTAGATATCCTGTTCACTAGACCACTGCTGACAGTTGACAATATTAGTATTCGAGATGTACTGGAATACTGAGGCTGATCAAGTGCCGAAGGCAGGATCACCGACTGCAACACCATCGGCTGAACCACAAGTGGGAGGTCAACATAACTGAGCCCCTTCAGTGACAAATTCCGTATTATACGGGCCACCCGACCTCCATAATATCCTGTATGAGATGGGCCAGCGGATCATGGGCCCATGTATGCCAATGATATATATATCCTTGATGTTGACAGATGGGCTGGGGGAATATGATCATTCATGGAGATGGGTGGGCCCATCTGGGTAATATGTAGAGTAGGATATTATAGACAGCTGGGCTGAAGAGAGATGTAAGGCAAATATTGTTATATAGACGGGCGGGCTGACGGGGGTGTATTACATATATGGGTGGGCCGAGGTAGGGGAATATTACATAGATGGGTGGGCTGATGTGGGGTGTATTACATATACAAGTGGGCCGACGTGAAAAGTATTACATATACGGGTGGGCCGACGAAAGAGATATCAAATAGACGGGTGGGCCGAGGGTGCAATAAAATATTTATTACATAGACAGGTGGGCCGAGGTGGGGTATAATTATATAGACAGGTGGGCTGACGTAGGATGTATTATATAGACGGGTGGGCCAACATAGGATGTATTACATAGATGGGTGGGCCGAGGTGGGGGATAATGCATAGATGGGTGGGCTGATGTGGGGGAATTGTACATAGATGGGTACATATATGGGTGAGCCTAGTATGTTCCATCAAGACATACAGCTGATGTAGCCACCAGCAAATCAAACATGTAGGATACATGTAAACTATGAGTGCATATACCTACCATCGACCACCAAATCTAAACCCCTAAGCACAAAAACATGAATCGACCATGTGTGGCATTGACCAATAATTGAGGACTGAAGTGGAAAAACCCCACACCTGAACCCTGGTGTGCAACATATCCTATTTATAAGCATGGACACCAGAAGCACAACACTCACAAAAATATATATGTCAAATTTTCAGTGCCAAACCCCAAACCGAGATGTACCAACCCCTGAATCCCGAATCCCAAGACTGCCAGGTCTCGGGTTTCAGGGTTCGGGGTCCCGGAACTCAGAACTCGGAACTTGTGGAAATTTGGGGAGATCAATAAAATTTGATTTACCATCGAGTTTATTGACAAACACATTGACTTACCCATGTTTGAAATATATTTTGTTCTACATACTGAGTTCCGAGTTCCGGACCCCCGGACCCCGAAACCTGAGACCCAGCAGTCTCGGGGTTCTGGGGTCCGGAACTCAGAACTCGGTATTCGGGAGTTGGTAAAATATGTATGGATATATGAAAGGTTGATTTAAACATTTTTGAAAGATGTCTCATCAAATGTCAAGTCCTGAGTTTTGAATTCCGGGTTTCGGGACTCCGGGCTTCAGGACTCCGTGTTTCGGGACTCGGCACTCCCGAAATCCAGAAATCAAAACTCGGGACTTGACATTTCATATGCAACATCTTTCAAAAATGTTTAAATCAACCTTCCATATATCCATACACATTTTACCAACCCCTGAACCCTGAAATTGTGGACTGCCAGGTTTCGGGGTTCGGGGGTCCTGGAACTCGGAACTCGGGATGTGAGACAACAAAAATATATTTCAGGGCTTGGGGGTTAGTAAAATGTTTATAGATATACGTAGATTCATATCAACATGTCTGAAAAATGATGTTCGTCTCAAATGTCAAATCCTGAGTTCCAGGTTTTTGGGTTTCGGGACTCAGCACCTGGCACCTGGCACCTGGCACTCAAGGTTCAGCACTGAAAATTTGACATAACTCTGGGTTTTGGGACTCCGGGCTTTGGGACTCGGCACTCCCGAAACCCGGAAATCGAAACTTGGGACATGACATTTCATATGCAACATCTTTCAAAAATGTTTAAATCAACCTTCCATATATCCATACACATTTTACCAACCCCCAAACCCCGAAGTTGTGGACTGCTGGGTTTTGGGTTTTGGGGTTCAGGGGTCCCGGAACTCGGGACTCAATATGTGGGACTGGACAAAGATATTTGTCAGGGTTCGGGGGTTAGTAAAATGTTTATGGATATATGTAGGCAGATTCAAACATGTCTGAAAAATGTGTTTCATTTCAAATGTCAAGTCCTGAGTTCTGGGTTTTGGGACTCGGTACCCAGCACCTGGCACTCGGGGTTCGGCACTGTGAAAATTTGACATTCGGGTGTTAGGGTGTTCGGGTTTCGGGTGATATCTACTTCAATCTACAGTTTCTAGTTCTGGATATTGAAACTCAATGATTGAATCATTCAATTGTGGCATAGGTAACATGCCTTGAAAAAGATTTATGTACATATATCATTGAGCAATTATGTAGCCATTTCAACCTTCTCACCAGGATGATCAACCTTCACCTCAACCTCCATCTCCTCATCAGAAGAATCATATTCTGGCAGGAGGTTGCCTGGTTTATCCGGGACCACAATTTCACCGGAAAGCCAAGACCTGAAGTTCTGGGTTTTGGGACTCAGCACCCGGCACCCGGCACTCGGGGTTTGGCACTGTGAAAATTTGACATTTGGGTGTTAGGGTGTTCGGGTTTCAGGTGATATCTACCTCAATCTACAGTTTCGAGTTCTGGATATTGGAACTCAATGATTGAATCATTCAATTGTGGCATAGGTAACATGCATTGAAAAAGATTTATGTACATCTATCACTGAGCAATTATGTAGCCATTTCAACCTTCTCACCAGGACAATCAACCTTCACCTCAACATCCATCTCCTCATCAGAAGAATTACATAAAGCTATACTTCTTAGCCTCATTTGAGTTCCCTATAGTGTGGGAAGCTGATGTCATCATGTGCAGATATGGCTATTTTAATTTGGTGACTCATTGAGACACTTTTTTGACTTTTAGTTTGATCAACACAATCTCAATAATTATGATACTTTATGTGACCTTCTGTTGCTCTAATCACTTCTGCCACTCTTCTAGACATGCTATCTATCAATTTTGAATATTTCTTCTTAGCACTCCTTTCTCACTCTGCTGCAACTCTGTCCTACAGCTGAAATAGCCCCTATGATGAATTTTGATAGGCTGCAAGCAATTTCTTGAATATTTTTAACCCGGTACTTCAAATGGACATGAATTCTATATTTGTATGTATTATCCATTGGTGTAGGGTTCAAATAACTTGGGAATTGTATTTGTCAGTGCTCGGTACTCGGTACTCAGTAGTTGGTGGTTGGTGGTTGGTGGTTGGTGGTTGGTAGTCAATATAGGCAAATGATAATGAAAAATTAAAGTTGTTATTACGCTTAACTTCCTTACCAAAGGTTGTAGTCCGAGTCTAGGGGAGTGTATTGGTAGTCTTTTCTTGTCCATCAGTTATCATTTGACTGAGATATAAGCTAAAGAAATCTGAAACATCGGCAATAATGAAAAATGAAAGTTATTTGTAATGATATTTTCGGCCTGAATCATATATAAATGTGACTTCGTATAAAAGATGTCTATTGTCACTCTCCACACATATGTCATTTTGCCTATCATTACATCAATCCTTCATGAATCTTTCTAAGCTTTTAAGCTATTATAATGGATGTATATGGGTGTTATTCCAGGTCTCTGATCACATCACAGGCTTGTTATGTTGTATATCTCGACATAATGTGCAAGTCTCGCTCTTAATATTCATTCTTTTATCTTTAGACTCACTTACTGCACACATGTATTTCATTTGTCATTATTGATGTGTTGGATTTCTTTAGCTTATAACTTGGTCACATGGTAACCAATGGACGAGAAAAGACTACAAATAAACTCACCTAGACTCGGACTACAACCTTCATTAAGCTGACTACTGATTCCTGGATACCGAGTATCACAACCAAATACTGAGTACCAATTACCATGTACTGAGTACTGCGTAATGAGTAACAAGATAACCAATTGACAAGAAAAGACTACCACTACACTCACCTGGACTTGGAATACAACCTTTGGTAAGGAAGTTAAGCATAATAACAACTTTCATTTTTTCATTATTGCTGATGTTTTGCCCGAATGACAAGGAAAGACTACCAAGACACTTACCTTGACGTGGACTACAGCTGTCATTTTTCATTATCATTGCCTATATTGACTACCTGAGTCTCGAGTACTGACCACTGACCACCAATCACCAATCACCGAGTACCAATCACTGAGTACCAAGTACCAAGTACCAAGTACTGAGTACTGACAAATACAATTCCCAAGTTATTTGAGCCCTACACCAATGGATAATACATACAAATACAATTCGTGTCCATTTGAGGTACCGGGTTTCAGGTTTCAACACTCGACACTTGGTGATTTGTGCAATGAGTGAAAAATGGACATGACCCAAAGCACTCGGAACTCAATGATTTGTGTAATGTAAATGAAAAATAAACATGTTGCATGCCGGGTTTCAAGTTTCAGGTTTCAGCACTCAAAACTTGGTGATTTGTGCAGTGAGTGAAAAATGGACATGTTGTGCACATATTTTCGGGGTTCGGGTTTCATCCCTTGGCACTTGGAACTCAATGATTTGTGTAATATAACTGAACAATGGACATGTTGCACACCCAGTTTTGAGTTTCAGGTTTTGGCACTTGAAACTCAGTGATTTGTGCAACAAGTGAAAAATGGAAATGTTGCATACATATTTTCGGGTCTCGGGGTTTGGGTTTCGGCCCTTGGAACTCGGAACTTGATGATCTGTGTAATATAAATGAAAAATCAACATGTTGCATGCTGGGTTTTGAGTTTCAGGTTTCAGCACTCAAAACTCAGTGATTTGTGCAACAAGTGAAAAATAGACATGTTGCATACATATTTTCGGGTCTCAGGTTTGAAAAATAGCATAATAACAACTTCCATGTTTTCATTATCATTTGCCTATATTGACTACCGAGTCTGATAAGGGACCCCTTGGATGATCCATTGCTCAATGAAATACTACCTGATTGGAAGTGTGCTGGTTATCAGATATTCATTTGTTGACTCCTGGGTCCCGGAACTCGGAAGTCAGTACGGTTGACCCAAATTTGGGTGGTCGGAACTTGGCATCTCGTAGGGCAATGCAAGCTTCACACCCCAGATTCCAAATTCTGCAAGACAACCTGTGCACCATCAAAGGCCATGTCAGGAGATCACCTGCTGCTCTGGGAACTCGGTAACTTTAATTTATTACCTCCTCTGAGTATGGTTGACCCAAAGGTTGGTGATCAGAACTTGGCTTCTCATAGGGCAACACAAGCTTCGCACCCCGGATTCCAAAATTTGCAAGACAATCTGTGCACCATCAAAGGCCATGTCAGGAGATCACCTGCTGCTCCGGGTACTTGGTAACTTTGATTTATTACCTCCTCTGATTTGGTTGATGTACAACTACCTCAGCTCCATCATGTCTACAATTATGATACACATGGGCCCACCCATCTATATTTTATACCACCCTCGGCCCACCCGTCTAATACAACATCCCATACAACACCCTCAGCCCACCCATCTAATACAATATTTTATAATACCCTCGGCCCACCTGTCTAATTTAATATGTGTCTGGGCCCACCCGTGAATGTGATAACAAGTACCTACCCATCTATCTCATACACATCTACCTTAATACACCCATCTGCATAATATCCAACTACCTCGACCCACCCGTCTACCTAATATTCATGTACATTGGCCCACTCATCTACTCTATATATTCCCTGCATGGGCCCACCCGCCTCCATTGGGAATAATTTGCCTCCCGGCCCATCTGTCATAGTCGAGGATATTTTTATCATGGGCCCATGGTCCGCTGGCCCATATCATACGGGATATTATGCATGTCCGTTCCCTCATATTATATGGAGATAGGTCACTGTAATATGTGTCTCATGTGCCGAGTCTGTGCAGGGTGAGATGATGGCAGGCACGATTCTGACTCTCTTCCCCACAATTTTGGGCAGAGGCTGGTCATCTGAATCTGACTGGTGTCCCATGTACTCACTGTATTGTGCATTTGCCCCTTTCCTTGCATGGTCAGGAGCGTGCACGTTGACCTTTGGACTAGCCAAATCTGCGTCAGTATTGTCAGATGCTTCATCGGCAGAGCTGACATAAACTCGTTTGATGAACCTCGGCTGCTGGTCGGCAATGCCAAACAGTGGCAGTGCCGTGGTTGCTGATGATGTTTTGGTTGGCCTGGGCCACATGCCCTCATCGTCAGCATCACCATCAGACTCCTGAGACTCCTCACTGACAGGAGGGTGCATCTTGCCCTTCTCATCAATCCAGGCCTTGAACCTCAATGTGGGTCCAACCTGGGTGTGCTGTCAGGCCAACCAACATTCTAACAAGGTGTTTGCTTCATCCCGTTGCAACTTTGATGGGTCTGTGAGCTTTGTATCATCTGGCAGGTATAAGCTGGAGATGAATCTTGACTGTCCTTTCATTATGTCGCTCCAAGGCACCGGGACCTTCAGTTTTCCACAGCATATTCCTGTGGCAACAGTAATTAGATTATGGTGTAGGTTTTTTGATCATTAGGCTTACTGTAATGAATTGTGAGGAATGACCGAATCATTCCCTTCTTTGTTTTGAGCGAGGCACCCTCAATATCGGGCAACATCGGCAAACCCATGCGGTCCAGGTCAAACTCATAGTAAGGTTTGGGAACCCGGTGTAGAGAATCATGCCTCTCATGGCGTGATATGGCAGTTTCCACTAGGGAGTATACAGCACCAACTCGCAGCACCACTCTGTGTACTGTCCACAGCGATTCTTATATGAGGCACAGCTTTCCCACGCTTCGCGATGTATACGCGCGCGCACTTTCTCGCGCTTGCGCGCCCTTTAGCGCCAGCCATCCAGATGCATCCATCCACTGTCCACCATGTTCTCTAGTGCGTATATTTCTATTTCTCTCATTGCATATTATTCCATCTTTATTTTTATCATGGACTCTCACATATATATATTTTTACATACCTACTCGGTAGCGCTTCGGCTCCGCATGACTGCGCTTAGGCGCGCTATATAAGCGCCAGCAGTACATACTATTACTGAACTGAACTTTCACCTCCCATTTACCTAGTACTTACTACCTAGAAAGTCGCAGTAGAACTCTATTCATTAGCACATCACATCTCACATCTCTTATCTTGCATTATATCATCACTTAAGCTTAGTCTCTATCATTTCCGCATATGCGCGTGCGCTTTCCCGCGCTTCGCGCTAATACGCACGCGTGTTCCCACGCCTTGCGCACACCTGCGCTTTCTCGCGCTGCACTTCAGCGCATACCTCTAGATCTTGGCTGCACTCACTTCCCCTTTAGGGTCGAACGCACTTGTCTCCTCAAGTAATGCAGACTAGGCAACGCGCGACCTTTCAACATTTATAGATACTGTCAGGAGCATCATTTGTTCCTAGCAGTATTGTTGTTTCTACACCGGCGAGTGCCTCCAAGCAGCGTGCCGTCCTGGTCTTGATCCTGGTTTTGATGGACATGACATAGATTAAATGAAGCACCACTGAAATGGTCTCCAGACTCACTGAATTCATCACCAATATAATCTTCCCATGCCAGTAAGATGACCTGCCAGTCTTTACATTTCATGAAGCTGGAGCCCCTACCGATGTGTTCATTGAAGTCAAATCTGCCGAATAATGTAAGTACAATTACTGACCGACCAACTGGTTGACCAAAACATTGATTCCGTGGGATCATCATCTGAGGATCCCAATAGATCAGATGATGAAGACTGATCTGATATACCGGTAGAGTTCAATCCTGAGACCATGGTGATTCCGTTGCCATCCAACATTGGCATTGAAAGGTGGGCTCAATGGGGCATTGCCGACCTGGTGCTGCAAGAAATATCATTAAGAGAAGGCCAAGCAAATGACGCTTTACATGTGGTGAGGGTGAACTTGGCCAACAAGGCTGTTCTCTTTCACACCATGGTTCGGTCAGCAAAGTCACAAGCACGGTCAACCAGGGCATGGGCTCGGGTGCACTCAGTTGACAAGGTCCTGCACCTTAGCACACAGATATACTCGCAATGCCACAAGCAGCTCATCAAACTCGGTGCCGAGGGCTTATTGAACAAGTATCAGCCATTGAAGAAGGCCGACCTCAAGGCTACTACGGTGGTGGCAGACCTGAATTCGCATGGTCAAAGAAATAGCATGTTAGCATGGTTTTGGCCCCTTGATGTGGAGGGGGATTCTACAAGCAATGATTGGATGAATGAATGTATGTACTTCACCGAGCTGCCTGCTGCTGTGGTGTGCTAATCAACTTACACAAATAGTTTACCGAGTTCATTGGCTTAGAACACTGGCATTGCGTGATCGTTGGGCAGAGGAACTGCTCCTGGTTGGTAGGGAAATGATTTGGGCAGTTGGATTTTTTATTCACAAATCCCAACAATGGCTCGGCCGAATGCAGGCAGCCAATGGAACTCAAACGGTCAGGCACCACTGCTATGCGGCCCGGCAGGCTCAGATTTATCTCCGACTGTCACAGCATTCACAAGACAGCTTTGACAGAACAAAAGGGGTGGCTGAGGTTGTGGAGTGACATGGGTCCGTGTGCGACCGCTGGATTAGTCATCAGTACAATGCTGATCCCCATAAAAGTTTGTTCTTCATTGATCAATACTACCACCAACATGTCCAACTCCTCAACGCTCTATACCTTTGAACTCAATGACTTTACTGCATGGGATGCTGCAAATGTCTTAGAGTTTGCTACCTCTCAATTTGCTGCAATCTGGCTGGCGTGCGACCGGAACCATGTACCTCGCACGCCAGCTTACAAAACCAGCTTTATCTGGCACCTCCAGTGGGAAGCAGATGTAAGTGTCTCATCGGTTGGTCGGTCATTATGATGTTTGTGGCTAATGCCCACACCAGCATTTTGTGTTTCCATATATCAACATATCACTGATGCTCAACATGCATCCAACAATGCCTGACTTCCTCCACGCCGTCATCGGCAGATTTGCCCGATTTCAAACTGGGACCATTACCGCCAAGGAATTGCATGACGAATTTGTCACCCACTGCTCTCCGAATAACACTCCGCTAAGGTCCACTCACTGTGTTGTTGCTAACTACCGCTATGATTGGTGGAAGGATCGCTTCGACTGGTTGGGGTTGGAGCTGCCAGTCTTGAACATGCATGAGGTCATGGAGATGACCCAAGACCACTTTGAACAACTGGTTGGTTGTTTATCTCTCATTAAAGACTTGCACTTATGCTCCTTGGTAACTGTTGGGTGCCATGCTTGTGCCGTGTCCTGCGGTGACTGGTCAGGTGGACAGTGATGCCCTGTTCAATCAAATTGTGGCAGTGAGAGCCCACCTCCAACATCTCGGCGAAACAATGGCTTCTTTGCTGGAGCAGAAGAACCAGATTTCTGCCACAGCTGTGTCCACCATGTCACAGCTCAAGGCACCAATTATGAAGCTGGAGGAAGCACTCTTGGATTCCCACAGGAAATGTGCCGACAAGTAGTCACTTTATGTTGCGCCATCGCCGATCTCACTTTTATGACTGTAAATGTACATAGTGTTACTGAATGAATTTCTGTCCTATTGCCGATCTCGCCGGAAATGCCAGACATGTGTAACACATTACTCAATGAATTTCGGGCTTTTGCTATATGAGCTGATCACACATCATTCCTGTCACTCTGCCCCCAATCATGCCTCAAATTCCTACCAACTGGGCATTGCACACCACATGCATTGCCAGTGACTTTGTGCAACAGCTGTTTGCATGTCATGTTGGTGGCCAGCAAAAATCGGTCTTGCCTCCCCTGGCACTGGATGTGCCAACCATGCTTGCATGTCGGCAGTTGGCAAGAGTTCTCGCTGATGCATATTTACACCCAAGTTGGTCATTCATTTACACAGTCAGTGGTTTATTAACATATTGCAGTTCAGCTTGATCTTGACATGATTCGGTACAACGAGGCCCTCAACAAACACTCCACTGGGAGGATACAAACACATGAAGATGCTCTGCTCCACAAATTTCCTCATGGTTCCCAACAATTGCTGGACAAACCCTCGGTTGTTGTTGATTCCGGCGGCCGTATCATCCTATGGTACCTGCCAGATGCCATTAGCCCATGGATTCAAGTGAGCCCATGTGTTGTCGCTTGTCGGTCAATATTTACACTGACCCAAAAGACCGAGATGGAAGAAGCCACCAACCAGTAGAGAAGAGACCAATTGGAGAACATTCCCGGGGCATTTCTATGACAGTGGCCAATGCCTGTTGATCCCAGGATGCATCAACATAGCTCCATGCTGGTTTCAGCAAGGCCGAGAGGTCAGGGCTGCTTATTCCACAGGAATGTCTGCACTCATTTGGCTGATACAGCCATATGTTTTTCCACCCACCGGTGTGTTTGCTCCCGAGGTGTCGGCTACACTGAAGGGGGAAGGCAGTCTCAAGGTTATACAATCCATGCAGCACTCGGCACTCCTGGCCTCAGCAGCTCTTCGGGTAATGCATCCTGAGTTGTATTGGGCCTCGGTCAATACTCAGATCAAACTTGCTCAATGGGCGGTGGACAATAGCCTCAACAACATACATACTCATCTTCAACTTTGGGCCTCGGTATTCAACTGTGCCGCTGTCAGTTGTAATAGGCAATGCCCTCTTCACCGAGATCTGAGATCTGCGCCCAAAGGATTCGATGTCATGACGAGTGTAGGTCACTATTGTGATGGTCTCATGACCCTGTCCAACCTTGGTATACAGTTGAGATATAACTCTGGTACCATGGTTGCCTGCTCTGGACACAATGTCAGGCATGGTGTCACATTTACCGGTGATCACATTGTGTGGACATGGTTTATACACGATAGCCTTCACAATTTTGTGGGGACACCTCAGCCACAGTATGCGGCATACATGGATATAGATTGTGATCTCTCGGTTTCAGCCTTGATGGATGTGTGATGAACTATAATGGTACATTACAGTTGGCTTTAACTAAGTAGATGAATTTATCACAATGACGCAGGTTACTTTGCATTGATGGTGTTGAATGTCTGAAGTCATCTTGCCTGGAGACCGACCGACTGAGCTGATATGTGCCGACTGATTTGATGAGGTATTCATTTTCATTGGCCCACCTGATGTGATCAGGAATACCTTTCCATTGGCCCACCTGATGGCATCAGGAATTCATTCCCACTGGCCCACCTGATAGCATCATCTATATTGGGCCCATTGATAACATCAGGAATTGATTTTCGATCGGCCTACTTGATAGCATCAAGGATTCGTTTATGTCAGCCCATCCGATGGCATCCATTCTATCGGCCAACCTGATTGCATCAGGCATTTTTTTACATCATCCCACCTGATGGGATCATTTCTATCAGCCCACCCGATTGCCACAGGTATTATTTTATATCGGCCCACCCGAATGCATCAAACATTCATTTCCATTGGCCCACCCGATTGCCACAGATATTATTTTACATCGGCCAACCTGATGGCATGAGTTCCATTGGCCCACCCGATTGCCACAGGTATTATTTTATATCGGCCCACCTGATTGCATCAGGCATTTATTTCCACCGGTGTAGAAACAAGAATACTGAGAGGAACAAATGAAGCTCCTGACTGTATCTAAAAAATGTTGTAAGGTCACGCGTTGCCTAGTCTGCATTACCTGAGGAGACAAGTGCGTTCGACCCTAAAGGGGAAGCGAGTGCAGCGAAGATCTAGAGGTACGCGCTGAAGCGAAGCACGAGAAAGCACAGGTGCACGCAAGGCACGAACGCGCGTATTAGCGCGAAGTGCGGGAAAGCGCACGCACACATGCGGAAATGAGAAGGAGTAAGCTTAAGTGAGGATATGATGCAAGATAAGAGAAAAGAGATGTGAAGTATAGACAAAATGGATTTCTACTATGTTCTTCTAGGTAGATAGTGGGTGGAAAGTAAAGTAAGGTAAGGTAAGTGGTAAAAATTGTCTCTCAAGTAGTATGTACTGCTGGCGCTTATATAGCGCGCCTAAGCATGGTCATGTGGAGCCGACGCGCTACCGAGTAGGTATGTAAGATATATATGGGTGAGAGTCCATGATAAAAATAAAGATGGAACAATATGCAGATGAGAGAAATAGAAATATACGCACTAGAGAACATGGTGGACAGTGGATGGGTGCTTCTGGATGGCTGGCGCTATAGGGCGCTCAAGCGCGGGAACGCGCGCGCGCGTATACATCGTGAAGCGCGGTGTAGAGACTCATGCCTCTCATGGCGTGATATGGCAGTTCCCACCAAGGAGTACATAGCACGAACTTGTAGTGTCACTCCGTGCGCTACCCGCAGCTATCCCTATACGAGGCGCAACTTTCCCGCGCAACGCGCACCATGCACGCACCATTCCCGCACTTGAGCGCCCTATAGCGCCAGCCATCCAGAAGCATCCATCCACTGTCCACCAAACCCTCTAGTGCGTATATGTCCATTTCTTTTATTAGCATATCATTCCACCTCTATTTTTATAATGGACCCTTACTTATATATATCTTTACATGCCTACTCGGTAGCGCTTCGGCTCCGCATGACCGCGCTTAGGCGCGCTATATAAGCGCCAGCAGTACATACTATTATGGACTTTTTGGAACTAACTTTCCATTTTTACAACTTACTTTTCCTACCAGTCACTTACTACTTAGCAGAGTATAGTAGAAATCTATTAGTCTACACTTTGCATCTCTCTTCTCCTACCTTGCATCATATTATCACTTAAGCTTAGTCTTTATCAATTTCCACATATGCGCGCACGCTTTCCCGCGCTTCGCGCTAATATGCGCGCGTGTTCCTGCGCCTTGCGCGCACCTGCGCTTTCTCACGCTGCGCTTCAGCGCATACCTCTAGATCTTTGCTGCACTCACTTCCCCTTTAGGGTTGAATGCACTTGTCTCCTCAAGTAATGCAGACTAGGCAACACTCGACCTACGACATTTTTAGATACAGTTAGGAGCATCTTTTGTTCCTCTCTGTATTGTTGTTTCTACAGCGGGAATGGTGCGCATTGCGCGGGAAAGCTGCGCCTCATAGTGGAATACCTGCGGATAGCACACAGAGTGATGCTGCAAGTTTGTGCTATGTACTCCTAGTGTAAAGCGCCATATCACACCATAAGAGGCATGAGTCTCTACACCGGCCCACCTGATGGCATCAGTACCATCGGCCGACCCGATTGCACAAGGCATTCTTCTCTATCAGCCCACTTGATGGTATCAAAATTTTATTTCCATTGGTGCACCTGATAGCATCAGATGTTCATTTCCATCGGCTGATCTGATGGTCTCACACCCATCATTGGCTGACCGATATGCACACACAATGTAGTCCAAATGGGCTGGCTGATATGCACAGAAAATATACTTTGCATGGGCCCACATGATGGCTTCATACCCATCATTGGCATTGGCCGACCGGTACACACGGCGACTATATGCTACATGGGCCCAGCTGACAATGTCACACTCCACCACCTTTGTCTTCTGGCCACCGGCCGACATGTTATTATTGAGTGTCACCATGTATGGGCCCAGCTGTGAAATTCATCTGTCAGTGAGCCGGCCGGCCGAATGTCAAACACGGGCAAATATATTTGATCGGCCGACATCCGCTGGCCTGTGTGCAACAGCGTATTTTCACCCTCGGCTGCCTGTATAATACAGACTATGTGACTGAATGGGCTCTGACAACATCTCTGGCACTATGCGCAAACATATTGCATCTTTATGTCATGGACACTTACTTACATATTTACTTCACTTCTGACTTGCTTCCATGCTCTGAGATCGCAATGAGAATTACTTACATAGCATCATGTATTATTTACCTCTTAACAAGTTTCCACCACCATCCTGCAGATCATTCAACTCTAAGTCTAAATTCCACCATGCTATAACCACTTCTCAACAAATTCCAAGTGTGTTCTCAGTGCGCAAAAGCAAGTCGGAAGTGCAGCAAATATGCAAAAATATGTAAGTTGCTTCCGAATGGGTTCATTGGAAGTGCATCTAATTGGTCTTGGCCAAGCAGTTGATAAAACAAAATATAAATCTGTCTGTGTGGGTTCAAAACCTGCTAAAGATGAATTTGCCAAGTGGTCACAATCCATTTCTCTTGGACTATGTAGATTTGAAACCTGCCAGTGACAAATTTTATTTTCTATGAAAACACACCTTAAAATTCACTCGTGGTCGGTTTGCTTCCAAGCTGATCACAGTTGTGTTTAGCTAAGTGGCTGTCATAACAGAATCAAAATCTGTTTCTATCAGAGTGCAACATGTTTGAGACTTGTTGAATGACACTTTTTTTTTCTAAGAATGTGTCTTGAATATTTGCCCATAGACAGCATCTCAGACATTGATCTTCATTGATCCAATAACAACATTTTTATTCTATAAAATCCAAAATGGTGTAATGTGATGAATCACAAGTTTATGCAAAAGACATATCATCACACAGATTACAAACCTGCTTAGTTCAAGAGACATATATGTTGACTCTGGCAATCACTTGAATAAGCACAATAAAGAATCTCGGCCTTAATATATTTGTATTTTTCTTAATTCCTCAGGTTATTAGGATCAAACTTGAAATTTTGATGTGTAATCTGCTCTTTTTCTTCTCAAGACCTTTAAAAAGGATTATATTCTTATTGTACTCATCCTTCTGAGTTTGCATCATGACTTTCACCACAGGAAAAATAGAAAAAAGAGGGCCACTGAGATGGTATTGTGATGAGGTGGAAATATAACACTTTGAGTATATGGTTGCCACACAAGCCACCACTCTGAGACCTTGAACTCTTGGAAGGTGTCAGCTGGCCTTTTGACAAAAAAAATTACTTTGGATATGACAGTGTATATACAGGTACCCTATTTTAGATTTTTGTGTGTTGTGATAGGCAGCCTTTGTTGTCGTTGTTTCTTAAGTCCTAACACCACAACTGGGCCTTCTCAAAGGCAACTATTTTTTAAAATCTATAGAGGGTCGATGCATGCTCATTTGGACCATCTTATATTTAAGGTATATTGACATGTGCCACACACCTAACATCAATTTTTCAATCTTTAATCTAGCTTCATTCTTCTTCACACATATGGCATTGGGATTTTTTTAAGTCACAGTCGCATTCTCACCAAGCCTTGATGTAAAATTTCCTTACTGTCCGTTGGGCCACTTTTCCTTGGCTCCAATGCAGCACTTGCCTTCCTCTCATTGTCAGCAAGTGCTTACCTTCATTCTCACACAGTGTCAAGCACAGCTACTCTTAAGCTTGTTGTTAGAATAAACTCAATATGGGTTGATGTACTCTGCGTTAAGCCATCAGGCTCTTCATACTTGGTCGTCTCGATGTGCAGCATGATCTTCTGAGCTATTTCATATTGGCGGAAACTCATCAGATACCAACTACCTCTTCATGGGCGATTACATGGATCGAGGGTGCTATTCTGTCGAAACAGTAACTTTGCTTGTGGCACTCAAGTTACAGTATCATGACCACATTACAATTCTATGGAGAAACCATGAATCTTGACAAATCACGCAAGTGTATGGCTTCTATGACGAGTGCTTGCGGAAATATGGAAATGCTAATGTGTGGCGGTTCTTCACTGATTTGTTTGACTACCGCTACTGAGTGCGAAAATGGAGTAGGGTACTTGACACGTAAACGCCATTACGATAACATGATACATAGCAAATCTCATACACTCCAGACTAAGATTATGAACTGTCACTTGCAGAGAAACATTTGAGGCTCGGATGATGAAAAAGACTCTAAATATTACAAACAGATTGATTATGATTATGAGGCTACTGGTACAGTGTGAAATTCCCATCTCTAAGATCTCCACAGGAGGGAAGTCAGCAAGAATATTGAAGTATAAAGTTGCCAGGGACGGTAAAGTCCTTCCATGCGTCCATCAGAGTTTCCTCTGTGAGTCCAGCACTGCGCTCAGAGTCGAAATATGATCCTATCGCAATGTGCATGAAGCACCAAAAAATTGTGGGGGTCGGTAAGTAAATCAGGACAGTTGCTCTGTTGATCTCGAAACATAGTGCATTGGCATAAAAGCTTTAAGATTATGAAGGGAAAGGACGTGCAAAAAAATCTCACCTTAGGTGTATAAGGGTGACTAAAAATCACTTCCCTGATTCTGCAATTAAGCAAACGGGTATGGACAACATCCCCATACTTGATAAGCAGCCAAGCTATGATATTCATGGTATCAGTGAGAAATGGAGGAGCAAAGTTAATGAATGCTTATGATGGTGATCATGATTTTCAGGAGCGACCATGATAATTGAGGCAGGTTGCGGGGTGCTCATGGGAATATCAGTTGTGGCCCACATGTCAATAGCTGTGGCATCGACATTAGAAAAGAGTACATTGACACTATTGGATGTTATGTCAAGCGATACTGAACAATAGTAGAATTAGTGGAAGACTCACCAATTGAGCAGGTTAGTATTGGTAGACATTTTCAGTGATCTTGATAATTAAAACTGTACCTTCAATCCCGCTTTATATGCTTGGTGAATCAAGAAAACTGGCAGTGGCCAAAGGGTAGTCATGAGTTACTGAACAAAGACTTTTTACTGGAAAGAATCATAGCTATCGTACCCTGGTGGTTGGGTTCGATTCATCAAAGGCCTATTCATCACCTTTCACAGTCACATTCTAAGGACAAAGGGATATTATGTAACAGGATGCAAGGCGTTGATTCATGATTGATTCCCTTTCACAAAATTTAATATGGGCTTTGTGCTGAAAGTAAGCCAATACCTCGCCAAATTTTTGGGTGTTCCTACCCTTCTTGGTGTTTGGCTTGCATGGTCCTGCCGGGGTCAGTCAAATATTGTTCTGAGTCGTTGGCTAGTACTTCTATTTGTCACGAATCCTTGCTGATGAAGTTCCTGTTAATGGTGTGAGTTCTGATTTGACCGTATTGTTGTTTGTTCTGCGCAGCTGTAATGTGCCACGTTCTGTCACTAGTCATACTAAGGTCGCTGTTGAGTAAAATTTCAGTCCAGCGTGCACACCAACTGTCAATGGTTGGTATAACCCAAACAACATCCTTTGGAATGATTGCTGAAGGCAAACACAGTTAGTTTTACCTGCATCTCACCACTCATCTCGGTTTATCTGTAGGATATTTGTGATCTGTAACATTAATCGATTTGCATCATGATTTAGAGGACTGGCTTAGATAAATTGTGTGAGGAGCAGGAAGGGTCTCAGTGAGCAAAACTTGATATGGAAAAAATAATATATTAAAACTTTGAAAAACAACAGCAGCAATATGTTGAAAGCCAGAAGCAAGGCAATTCTCCCTCATTCGCTGTGGGCCCTAGCATATTAGTTGCTTCTGATGATTCAGGTTTGTTGTTAGTACTGAAACACTGCAAGTTCAGGCCCATGGTACTTACATGCAGTCTTAATACCATCCTTGGTCCGTCCATGGGTTTTATATGTGGCAAGTGTTTTTCGGGTGACCCAAGAAGGTTCACCGCCCTTGCAAACACATAGCCTGTGATCCTTTAAAACTGGATGATGATGCCCATCCTGGATATTAGATTCCCAATTGTTTCCATTCAAGAGCCAAATCTGCACTGATGAATTGCCATAGTGATGAATGAAGAGGTCTCCCAACTGTGCATGCAGGTACATAAGAGAAGAAATACAGTTAGGTCCCTCACTTTCATACCATCCCATCATCGCATCCAGACTGTGTATCTTGTGTTCTTGACACTTAGGCATGTCATTATTGGACGAGTGACTCTGAAAGTTCACTGAAAAACATGTTACATTAGTGAATGGAGTCAGTAGCAATGAATACTCGCGCAGTAGACATAGTACTCATTGTGTTTTGATCTTTATCAGTACACAGTTCGCGCTGGGCCTTGGCATGGTTGTTGGTAAGAGAAGGTGGTGTGTCAATGACTGATGGGGTGATTGTGGGAGAGATCAGTTTTGATGTCAGTGCCAGTGATGATGTGGGTTCACCCCTAGATGTAATGAAATTCTTGACCTCCTTGATCACATTATTTGTAATGGACTCATTGAAATCATGAGGGAAGATCATCCGGTGAATAAGGGTGCTCTATATTAAAGTTAATGTCAAAACATCTTTGAGAAAGTAAAAAAAAACATTCATCAGAGTCATGGTCTTCATGGACTACATCAACATTGTCTAAGTAGAGGCAGTGATGCCAAGGAAAGTCCTGATGGTGTATCATGATTGCCAGGCGCATCTGTCAAAATGTGGCAGAAGGGAAGAAAGCTGACCACTGACATCATGTTCCACATGCTTCACTGATTGATAAGGGGAAGATAGTGACTGTCTGAATTTCATTTGGTAAGTGCAAGGATGTTTTTGAACCTTCATTTGGATAGAAATAAGTTTTGAGGCTGAGGAGTGAGAATGATTAAGATAAGGTTTGAAGGATTGGTGATGTAATACCGACAACTGCTGACTCAGATGGGTAGAACAAATGAGTGGTTCAAAATGTCACAGACATTGGCGAGAACTGATTTAAGTGAATCTGCTTGAATCAGTGTTATAAGAGACCATTAAACAAAGTGAGCAACTTGAATGACTTAGTACATCGATCCTTCGTCTTTGTTGCAAAAGACATGATTCAGTCCATAGTATGTTCATTGTTCTAGATCTCCCTTTTGTTTCTCTGAAACTGGCGGTATCGCATACTTAGATATGAGTTGAAATATTCAAAATCCAAACTCTTCATATTCCATTAAAGTCCCGAACACCACAGAAATCAATTCTTCCTCTTAGGAAGGAGGAACAGAGCATACCTGATTCAATATTCAGGTCACATGACTAGTCATAGAATTGCAAACAAAATTGATGCATTGAGATGGACATGTACAAACAAGCTCAATGATATGAGACATGACTAGACGTGGAGAAGGTGTCGCATGAAATGTGGATTGACTAAATCAATCACTGCGTAAACGACTTTTTCAGTTGGACACTAACCCAAGCTTGATTGCTTGGAGATCCCAACATCTTTCCAGAGCTTGTTGCAGCTTGGAGTACAATGTGTCTCGCAGAAAGTAATGATGTGAGTCATCTGAGCTGGAACAATTTCCGACATTGTGATCCTTGGACAAGAAGATCAAGTCGCGAGAAAGCCTTGAGAACTTGCTGGTGTTGTGTTCTTGAGAGGGCCCTTGTAAAGTCCATTGGGAAATTCTCCAACACTAGATACTAAACAGTGGCAATGTCAGACATCATGTGTTCTGCCAACAAAACTCGATTCCCACTGACATGAACAATTGGCCCGTCGTCTTTAATTGCCAGGTTGTATTCAAGTTGTGCTTTCTGCTCCAAAACCCAAACATGTCCAGAGCCCCAATCATTCCATGATATTGGTGTTACTGCTATTGTTTCATCGATGTCAGAAAATCTTCGTGGAGATGAGGGCAGATTGTTCATTTATCAAACGACGAGGTAAGGCATAGCAGTCTATGTTCAGGGCCTGAGGTGTACATTGACTGGGCTTGTATCTGCAGCTGTGAGCCATGTGCATCCAGAGGGAAGTATTTTATCTCTACCAACGGAAAAAGCAACAGGAAACATGCCAGCAATCATGGCATCTTGAACATATCCTTGATCGAATACAGCTTCAAATCATCAGCAACAATGAGCAACCTATCATTTCTGAAGAAAAAAACTATTGGGGGTGGGAGATGACCCAAGAGTTTGCATGCTGCCATTGAGGATGCTCTAAATTCAAAATCAACTGTTCATTCTTCGTCAATTCCTGTTTCAAGCGTGAAGACTCACATGTAACATTGTCAAGTGCTGCCAGTCCCAAATTTGCAGCTGCCACATTTTCAAAGGCAATGAAGTTCCAACTTCATCGGTGCAAAATTCGCACCATAAAGCTATATGCCTCTCATAACACTTGAACTTCACTTCCCTCTCATATCCGGGCAACTCCAGAACTAGTGCTGGTCTGGCAGTGTGAGGGTGGACACAACCGTCATCCAGAGTCATTAGGTAAATGTAGCTCACCTTGCCAACAGATTTTGTGCCGGGTCCATCAATCCATTCCATCTCACTGCCCTAGGAAAAGGACATAACATTCCAGGTGACGCAGTGGTGTTTGATTGTTCGAGTTTGGACGGTATTGGGCTGATGGTGATCAAGTTGTTATGGTGATTCCACACATACAGATGTTCACCGGTGCTGTATTGGAGACTTTCCTCATTCAAAACCGCATCTGTTTTTACCAAACATACTGGCTGCCATCATCCTATCTATGGTGAGTATTTGACATTCCCTAGTATGAAGGGCTGCACTGGACAAAAATATAAAAATCGACTTTCACAAAACCAGTGAGAAAGATTCTGAATTTCTCTTTTTTCAAAATAATAAATTGAACAAAATTCATTGTCGATTTTCTGATTTCAAAGTCTCTTGTTTACATTTGGCTGCATTGGGAAATGGATGACCATAGACAAAGTTGCTGCTGTGGCATGCATGTACAATTTCAACCATTGTTGGGTATGAATGAACCTTAGACTGAAGTCAGCAAATTCCACTACCTCTCGAGACTATATGGCAAGGTTATAATGAGCTCGGTCACCACACTCACATTGTTCTTCGAACTCAACTTGGTGATAGTGCAAGGCTTAATGCCACCAAGCGACTGTTTGCAGTTTATTAGCATAGTAGAACAGGTGTCATCACTCTTTGCTGTCGCAACGGCTGAGATGCCAACAAATTCAATGAAGCATGCCGATGTGCACTAAGAAGATTAAGCTTTTGTTGCTTTTGCCTGTGAATTTGAGCCCAAGAGTGACAATTATGCACATCAAAAATAAGAAATACAAGAACATTGTAGCCAACAATTTGTCACATGCAAAGTAGTCTCGATTCTAGCATTCTGATCAGCATCAATGGTCGTCTGCGCCCAGCTACCCCATCTAATGAGCCAAGTTGCTCTGTCATGCCATGACTGTACTCTGTGGTTAGTTGGTGTGGACGTAGTAGAACCGCGAGTGCCAATGAAAGTTCCATTCGACTGAATGATAGCGTCAAGGAACACCGGATGCCTGGTAACAGCCACAACTTTTAGCGTCAGAATGAAAATATGACATCTAAGCAGCTCACCATTTTCCATAGATCACCTCAATCTGCTCCACCACATAATCTACCCACATCCACCCCAATGCCCTAACATCTGACCATTACTCTGGGTCCCTTTCATCACTCATCATGGTAGCATCAATCCCTTTTCATGTGTGAAGCTCTTCTTGCACCTTAGACACCCTGCATGCAATGACAGACAATGGGGCAAAGCACTGATCCACTGGGACCTCCTTGCATTGCTGGCTGAAGTCACCGTACCATATGTGGATTGACATATACTAAAGTTAGATCTGTAGAGCAACCTATACCCAAAACTTTTACTCACAGGAAGAGTTGGCTTGTATGATGGGTGCTTATGTAGTAAAGGAAATTGAAGGATAATACGTTGTAGAAACAACAATACAATGAGGAACAAAAGAAGCTCCTGACTGTATCTGTAAAAGTTGTAAGGTCGCGCGCTGCCTAGTCTGCGTTACTTGAGAAGCAAGTGCGTTCGACCCTATAGGGGAAGTGAGTGCAGCAAGGATCTAGAAGTGTGCGCTTAAGCGAAGCGCGAGAAAGCGCAGGTGCGCGCAAGGTACAAAGGCGCGGGAACGCGCGCGCGTATTAGCGCGAAGCGCGGGAAAGCGCGCGCGCGTATGCGGAAATGAGAAACTAAGCTTAAGTAGTGATATAAAGCAAGATAAGAGATATAAGAGTGCAAAATGTAAAGGAATAGCTTTCTACTATATTCTGCTAAGTAGTAAGTGGGTAGTAACTAGTAAGTGAAAAGTAGGAAAAGTAGGTCCGTAATAGTCTGTACTGCTGGCGCTTATATAGCGCGCCTAAGCGCGGTCAAGCGGAGCCGAAGCGCTACCGAGTAGGTATGTAAATATATATATGAGTGAGAATGCATGATAAAAATAAAGGTGGAACTATGCTAATAAAGGAAATGGAAATATACGCACTAGGGAGCTTGGTGGACAGTGGATGGATGCTTCTGGATGGCTGGCGCCATAGGGCGCGCAAGCGCGGGAACGCATGCGCGCGTATACATCGCGAAGCGCGGGAATGGTGCGCGCATGGCGCGCGTTGCGTGGGAAAGCTGCGCCTCATATAGAGATAGCTGCGGGTAGCGCACAGAGTAATGCTATGAGTTTGTGCTGTATACTCCTTGGTGAAAACTACCATATCACGCCATGAGAGGCATGATTCTCTACAACGTGATTGTCTGGAGGAAGGGAAACCTAGTGCTGAGGAGAAGGATGATTCATTAATGATAATTCCAGGCTTTTTGAGCGAGTTTCTAGAAACCAGAGCGATGCGAGAGACCAAAAGAGTGCGTGATTGTGGTGTACACTAGGAGATGTCAGCTCGACCCAAGCGGGGCCATGAGACATCTGTGATGGCCACGCATTTAATCACCAAAGAGGGATGTTTGAAGTTGTCTCACCGAGTTTGAGCAGGTTCAGGGGGGGGGGATTCATTGTGGTGTTTGGTTAGAGTTGATGTGCTCCATCCTGCTGAAGTCCACGATGTAATGTACTTCATGTCATTGCAAAGGTTATCTGAGACCAATGTTATGGTGAGACTCAAGCCTCAGACATTTTCACTGAATACTGACCTTAAAAGCATTGGGTGGGTGGGCCTTGGACATACAATTGCGAGTTGAAGATAGCACACTTAGTCAGTGCACCAGTGAAGCTTGGAAATTTTCAATTAAATTTGTCATTTGTGTTTTGCTTTTGGTTCTTTGCATTTCACTTTTCTGTTATAAAAGAACTTGGAGATCAGAATCTTTCTCACAAGTTTCGTGAAAATCAATTTTTGTATTTTTGTCCAGCACGGCCTTTCATACCCTAGTAGAGCATTTAAATACAGCTAATCAACTTCAAACTCGACTAAGGAATATGTCTGTAGCCTAATCATACTCTGTACCACCCTGAAATCTGTATGCTCATTTGGTTCAGATTGGGAGACCTTTCTATACTTCGTCTGATACATTTTGTGTGTGTGTACACGTCCTAATCCTACTATTTTCGTATACAACTAAAAAATCATTTCCCCAGTGAATGCAGAAAGCTGCTTGAAACGTTCTGAGACTGAATGGCTGTTAAATTTGAAAAAGATAAACTATTCACGCGCACATGAAAATACAGGTGCCTGAACATTGCCTGGACATTTAGAGGCTACAGAACCCAACCTGGGAGTCGGGGATGAGCGACATTAATATATTGCTACTATACAAACCAATTTAACTCTGTGATGTCGAAGAGATCAGCAAATCATCATACCCTATCAAGTGAGAGTACCACATGACAGCTTTCATCCAGACCCTCAATCTCTGTCGGGCAGCTAGCAAAGTGGCTAATAATGTCATTGTTTAAGATAACCAATTCATCAGGTTCGAAATCATCCAGGCACAACCGGACATCCATCGCTGCATCAATAGGGATCCAGAGCAGCTTGGGCATCGCTGAGTTCTCTGTACCACCTGACAACATAGAATGTTTCAGTTATGTTTGACCCTCTGCCAGAGCATGTATGCAGAAAGATCTTCTGAATCCAGGCTGCACATGAAATCGAGTTCCCTGCAGTTGGGTGCAGCAGGACCTGGCTATTGCCAACATGCTGCCATGTAGGAGTGAGGTTTACACCTTTGAACTTAATCGATTTCTTAGGCACAGTGTATGGTTCCACTGGAAGATACTGAGAAACCACGGGCTTGTCATAGTGCTGGTACTGCATGCCCTCATCCAAGGCATTGAGATGTGAAATGAGACTTGAGTACACATCAGGGGACAGCTTAATGTGTTTCTTTGTCATCTGCACTGGTGATTCAGGGCTATCAACGCCAAATACCATGGTGCTCAGATCCTGATGTAAAGTTCCCCTGAAATCTGCACTGAAATAATCAAGTGCAATGTGTTGCAAATCTGCGATGGCCTCAGGCAAGCTGTCGTGCATGAGGGAGGCTCTGAGGTTGCTTCCTCTACAGAATGACTTCATGAATAATTGTTCTATTTCCCCTCCTACAATAGCACATCAGTGAACAGTGACAGTCATTACAAAATGCAAACACCAACCAAGTTGGTGATTGGTCCTGACTCGCTGGATGATTCCATTGAAGCATTCAAAAGGAAAGGCCCACCAGCCATGCACAGGCCCAAATGAATGTAAGCACTCTGATAAGTGCTGAGTTGCATGGTTGTTGTTGGTGCATACTGCATTTTCCCCAAATAACTAGATGACAGTCTTCAGATAATACGTGTAGTAGTCATCTATGAGCTGAGCATGAGTCTCTGATGTGGAGCAGGTGGTTGCCCAGTGAACAGTAATAACAAGTGAGAGATAATTTCATAAAATGGTATTGTTCTTCTCCCCCACGCTGGATGTGCCCCACAAGTGGCCAAGGGTGATGACGAGGTTCACCAAGCAGACAGTGCACCATTGGTCAGCTTCGATTTTGCCATGGGAGGCACTGCTGAAATTTGCAGGTATGCATTTCAACCACAAAGGTATGGTTGTCTTAGCCATGTCAGACCATACCTCATGCAAAATTCCTTTGTGGAGGATAATGAGATTGGATATCTTGGCTGATATGGTAGAAAAATCAGCAGTTGGGTGAGGAAGCACAGTAGGACAGTGGATTTCAGCCTGTGGATGAGTTTTGCGCTGGCATTATTTCAGAAATTGAGTATCACGAGACGCTAAAGGCACTCACCCACTCAAGCAGTGCATCAATGTAAGATGACTTTGGAGTCCTTGCTCTCTCCGCAGATCTGGTAGAATTGACACCCAAATTGACATGCGGGGCAACATTGTTAGCCAGTGCCATAGACATAATGTATCCTCTGCAGAAGCACATGAGACCTGTTCTGGACTCTTTTCTGAGTGCATCAATGACACCATCAAGTTGATTCTGTTGTTCTCCTGGGTTGTGGGGCTGGACATGCTCCTCTCCTGGTGGCTGAGCATCAGCATCGATGCCTAGGACACACCGGATGCAGTGTGCCAAATCGCCTAGGAAAAGATTATGCATTGAGTCCAACACAGTGAATTGTGTGGGGTCCCAGTATGGTAAACGCAAGAGTTCCAACAAATGGATACTGAATCTGTCATATAGCACGTCCCTTATTTCTGTTGATGAAGCATCTCTCCACCACTTCGCAATGGAAAGGTGTTCTTGATAAGTATGACACGACCATGTGGAAACATTGGTGTTCCAGATATCCTTGAATGATTGAAGGCAGAACAAGCAATATCTACCTAAATTGAAGCCGTGACTGGCAAATCCTGCTGTTTTCTGTGCAGCTGGTAGATCACATATGAGGGGGATGATAGTGGCTCGAATGACGGCACCAAAACCACGATTAAGCAAGGTCTTCATAAAAGTAATCCCAGGACTCCAGCAGCACAGCATCTCGTCTATAAGTGGCCATAGCAGATGGTTGAGGTGATGTTGATAGGGTTCACAGGGACCAGGGATGATACCAGCCAAATACACATTCTCCAGTTTGTAACGCAAGTGAACAGGTAGGTTGTGACAAATTAAGTAGATAGCACCGATAGAAGTGCTCTGTCCACCCTGCTTGGATCCAAATGGATTAAACCAGTCAATGAACATACTGAATATGAGATGTAGTTCTGATTGTGGATTTTTGGCCTCGCCAACAAATGGTTTTCCGTCGGGACCCTTCAAGTTTCGAAGGACAGCACCATCCCAGATATCATACATATGTGAATCAGCTGGATTGAGAGACCAACGGACATCACAACAAATATCCAGGCGCCTGAAAAGTCTGCCCAGCCATGATTTAAAAGGTTGGTACATATACAAAAGTCGTGGTTTGTGCTCTTCCCCAGATGTTGATTTGTGCAAGAGAGTTTCTTCGCAAGGCTTGTCGGATGGAGTTTCACAGAATGAGCATTTGTCAGGAATGGGATCACCCGTTGCTCTACCCTTTTGCAATGGGCCGTAAATGCTATGGTCTTTTGGGCAACACACGTACTCCTTGATGTCTGGATCAATGTCAATCATCTTCATGGCAGTCTGAATATCAGTTGGCCAATGCTCAGAAGCAGAATTTATAGTTTTAAGTAGATTTTGGTGATCTTTTACATCGTCTTTGATGTCTTGGAGAAACCGGCGAAGACTTGAAGTGACCACACATCCCATAATGATGAGGAGAAATGATGCATTCCGCCGAGAGAGAGCCAAGTATATGGAGGAGTATGCCAATGAAAACACAAGACAGAAGTGAAATGGCTAAACTTTGAAGGGGCGGGTATGTCAAAATGATGAGCTATTGAAAGTATTAACAGATAAATTGATCTCCAATTTTCTCACTTACAGTTATCATAGACGATGGGAAGTTGATGCCGATACTCTGTGGAAAGAACAGCATTACTGGCTTGCTGGTATAGCCAATTCTCACAAACAACCTGGTCTAAGTAAGTCTGGTGTTCTTGAATTTCCTGCACCAAAGCCTTTCTTGTTGCGCTCACCAAGTCATCTCCATCGCAGACAATGGTGTCTACCATCTCAAGAAGGTTATCTTTGGCTAACTGGTGCTTCAAAAACTGGTTAGAAACTAACAGATCCAAGGGGCTGTGAGTGGGGCTGGAACTCAAAGTGGGTTTTCTGAGTTAGCCGAGGAACGAGGCTAACACAGAAGTTAGTCTACGTGTGAGTTAGTGGTGTGACAGTAACACTCTTCGTTCTCGTCCACATCCATCACCCACCAGCGTAGACGATCCCAGACATAACTTTATTTCTCTGCTCAATAATTAATACTGGTATCTATGTTAGATAATCCCAACGAGGCAATCTTGTCAGACTTCATGACCGTCGAGTACGCCACAGCCAGGGCTCATCTAATCGCTAGAGGTCTCGCGAACGAAGAAGCAGCTGCAGAAGTGCTTGAAACTATCTGGACCTTCAACAACGACGCTGCCAAAGATGCTTGGGCAGAGCAAGCAGAAATAGAACTAAGGCAGGCTCAAGAAGCTCGGCAGGTCGCAGCCGAGCAAGAGCAAGAACGGCAGCAAGCGCTGGAAGACGAACTTATTGCAGCGCGCAAGGAAGAACACCAGAAGAACAAAGCTAAATTTGTCCCCGTCTCTGCAGCTAAGATACTGACCATTCCCACCATCATCTCTTCTCACTATGCTGTACGCAAACTCAAAACTGGGGATTACTGCAAACTCTTTTACTTCACCAATAAAGGCCTGTCCGAAGCCAAGAAGAATCTTCTCTCAACAGAACCGCAAGGCTTAATCCTGATCCCAGGAGCAGATGACCAACAGATGTGGGTTAACGCGGATGAAACTCGTGACTCAAAAACTGTCATCACCAAGGACGAGAATCTATCTTGGGAAGAATTCAATGAAGCCGCACCATGCATGATCACAGCCATGAAGCAACAAGAATGGCCAGAAGATCGCATTAACATGCACATAAGTTTTTGGACAGCTCTTCAAAATCATCGTTGGCGTCATGCTACGGACCTTCTGAAGCAACATGTGTTACAGTCACTACGTGAGCCCCCAGCTACACGACCAGCCCTCTGCCACCTTGCACGGCAACGACACGATACCCGGGCCTTTAGGCCTTGATGATAGATGATGAATAGAAGAGAAGTCCGGAAGATGCCGGATTAGGTAAGCGATCTGGATCGCTTACATGATATGACGACATAGGTCTAGAAGACCTATATATGTTATCAAGATAGAAGGCAAGCCTCGTGTTGCCTCATGTACTGATAGAAGGACGCCTCGTGGTCCTTATCCTAGATAGAAGCCTGCCTCATGCATGGTATCTCTGACTCGATAGATAAGCACTTAGAACCCAGCTTCAGGCTGAGCTTAGATACGATAGAGTAGCCTTATATAAGGTCGATAGATTAAAGTAGATGTTCCTTACTTTAATCCTACTGGGTTTACCATCGAAACCTTTGTCTTGCTAAAGCTACCTGCTCGACATCAGATCCGTACCTTCAGAAGGACTTGAGACCCCTTCTGCCTGTAACTCGCTATCATCGTTCACCTCCGTGAACGTACGCAACTTCCGCTCTTCTGTGGAAGCCGACCTCGGACTCTCAGCACGAGGTATCACTGTTGTGATCGTCGCTGTTAGATTATCCCAGTCCGCACGCGACACACGTCGTAACAAAGGATTAAAGTTCCCTTTACTGTACGCCTCCATCACAGGCTACAAGATAACTGATTGCACTTGCTGTCAACGCTACCGACACTCGTAGAACCCCGAACCTAGATCCCGAAAGGATTTTCATATCCCTGATTTAGAACCCTGATCGTACCGGCCTGACCAGTCGCAAGAATATAAGAACCGTCGTCACTGTGGAAAGCTCCAAGAAAAGGATACCACGAAGAATTGTAGAACCCATCTCCAATATGGCAACTACCAGAAACACCTTCGCCGCTGCGCATCTCACCGGGAAGGAGACTCGCCTCTGTCTGCGAGAAAAGAAATGTTTTGTGTGCCACGTCATCGGACACAAAGCCGCGAGCTGTCCTCAATGGACCCGAACCTCACGGAGAAAGATGATCGAAGAAGAACCCCTGCGCGCTATCAAGAAAGCCGGGGCTAAGGATGATCTACGGGTGAACGCCACCCTGATTTCCAGAACAAGAAGTACCCCCATCGCGACATCTATGATCGTAGATTCTGGGGCGTGTCAGTCCTTTGTCAACCAGGACGTGATCACGCAGCACCGCATCTTGACGCACCAGCTAGAGAACCCCCTGACACTCTCGAACGCTGATGGATCCTGCTTCGGAAAGAAGCCGATAGAAAGGTTTTGCAACCTTACCTTCCAGATCGATGAACGGGTAATCTCTGAAAGGTTTTACCTAGCCGAACTTGGTCCAAAAGACAAGTTCCTGCTTGGACGACCTTGGCTTACCAGCCAGAACCCCCTGATCAATTGGAAAACCAGCACGGTGACCCTCAAAAGTACCGCAGATTCCCGAAAGAAGGAAAAAGAAATAGATTCTGATCGGAAGAAGAACGGCAAGACGCCCCTCTTCCTGAAAGAAGAAAAGAAGGTGGCAAAGAAAAGAAAACGATCGGTATCCCCGACAACTCCCCGCACCTTCTCTTCGGGCACAGTACCATTAGCCCGAACGACACGAATTGCACCGGTCCACGAAGAACCGCAGGACGGAAACCCCGTTGAAACTTCAGAAACCGCACCACGGCCCGCGAAAACCGTGACGAAGAAAGACTCGCTGCCTAGAATTGACCTAGCAGCAAAAAGATATGAACAGAAGAAACCGGCCACTGATCCGGAGACAACTCAGAAGAAGACTTCCAGACCGGCGCTGATATCTGACCACATTTATCCCGAACCGCCACGGACGAAGAAGATTGTACCGGCTGTTCAGCCGATGAAGATTGAAGAAGATCCCGCACCTGCCCGATATGAATTCTCGGCAGAACCTGCACAAGTCCTTGGGAAGGGACGTGCAATGATGAATGAAGAACCGCCTGTATCCAAGGCGCCCAGACTGGCCCCTGAACCAGAAATAACTCAGAGATTCGAATTCTCCGGAGAACCGATATCCGTTCTCGGAAAAGGACGAGCAGTCCGAATCGAAGACCCTCCCACCGCCAAGAAACTCAGATTCTATGAAAGTCCTGAGTCCGCAATGGAGGAAGACCCTGAACCGGCGTATTTAACCGCCGATGAACCGCCGAATTCCCTCAACCTCTCTACGACACCCGTACATCATTCCGAAGAAGCAATGACGCTATCTTCTGGTACCGAACTCCCTCCTGTGTTACAAGAAGCCCAGGATATTTTTATTGACCGAATCGCTTCGATCCATGAAGCATATCGTCAAAAAGAAATAAAACAGGAAGCACTAGACGACGGGCCGAGTTTTGTCAAATTTATTGACATGAACAACTCCGAGGATGACGAGGATGAAGACACGAACGCACCCTCTTCGCATGATCTGCGAATGGTAGATTCAGAAGGAAACGACTTCGAAGACGACGGCCCGCTCCCTGGCCTAGACTTCTGATTGATTATGATTAGTCGGTGACTAATGGCTTAGTAAGGGGGTGAAATCCTCCATTTTACTTATTTTCCACGCCTACTCCACCCCGAACACTGATCACCGATCCCGAACTCGACCAACTTCTACGTTGGTCCGGAACGACCTAAAACTAGATAAGGTCCGGAATGACCCTAAACTACGATTGTCCGTAATGACGTAAAACTAGACGATGAACAAGGACGAACCCCGGAAAACTCCTGCAAGCTTCGGGACCCCTTACATCACTGCACTTCGACCACCCGAGTAGACCATATATAAACAAAGGGTAATAGAAGACGATCTCCCCGCTGGACGACCCCAAGAAACTCCTACAAAGCCCTTGGAACCCTCTAGAACCCATCATGGCAATGACGACCACCCTCTGATGACGACCTGATCTTTCAACAAAAGATAAAGGATGATAGTACCTATCACGGCACTCTCCCTCTGATAGCGAAGAAGAATCTCGAACACGAGTTAGCCTCATGGCTAGATAAGACGATAAGAGATAACGATAAAGATAAGTTTAGAATGAATCGGAGCTTGGATTGATCTGGAAGAAGGTTATAAACCCTCTCGATCCCTAAACATCTCTCCCAACGAACCTCCATCATCATCATGACAAACTCCATCGACAACGACTCTATCAAAATGACACTGAAGGACTCAGACTACGGAGTAGTCCTCAGAATGACGGAAAACAGCGCGTTCAATGAAGCTGCTATCCTGACCCCCGCGTACTCCCAAGCGATCGACGAAATCCTTGGTGAACAAGACGCCAGAACTGCAGCGTGTACATCCCTCACCGTCTGCATTATACGAACCACGAAGCTGCTGGAAGATGTAGCCAATCGTGTTGACCTTGATGAAGCAACTCGGAAACTTGCTATACTTCATCTGCAACGGCGGATCAGAAACTTCGCACTTCACTTACTCCCCCTCGACTTCTCCGATATCACCGACCTAGCGATAAAGAAAGTTGAAGTGAAGCCTCTTGTAGAAGAACCCCGCCCGGTACGCCCGCTGAGAAGAAAGGCGGCTACCATAGATCGAACCCGTAGAACGCTCTGCAAGCGCTGCGGAGGATACGGACATCAGTTCAGAAGATGTCCAGATTATGTTTGTTGCATCTGCGATGAACTAGGACCTGACCATCTGTCGGTCCACTGCCCGCGACTCAACGGACGCATTGTACTCCAAGAGTTTAGCGATGAAGAGAAGTTCTTTGAAGCTCTCTTAGATTGGGAGCATAACCACAAGGCACTCGCGGATCTAGAACTTCAGCATCCCACTGAACTTTCCCCTGTCCCTGAACCTCCCTCTGCACCTTCCGCCTCCACATCAGTAACTCCCGCACCACTTGTTGCTACGATGGAAGAAGACATCTAAAGAATACAAAGCCGGTGACTTTGTGCGTAGTAATGGGGTAATGTTACAGTCACTACGTGAGCCCCCAGCTACACGACCAGCCCTCTGCCACCTTGCACGGCAACGACACGATACCCGGGCCTTTAGGCCTTGATGATAGATGATGAATAGAAGAGAAGTCCGGAAGATGCCGGATTAGGTAAGCGATCTGGATCGCTTACATGATATGACGACATAGGTCTAGAAGACCTATATATGTTATCAAGATAGAAGGCAAGCCTCGTGTTGCCTCATGTACTGATAGAAGGACGCCTCGTGGTCCTTATCCTAGATAGAAGCCTGCCTCATGCATGGTATCTCTGACTCGATAGATAAGCACTTAGAACCCAGCTTCAGGCTGAGCTTAGATACGATAGAGTAGCCTTATATAAGGTCGATAGATTAAAGTAGATGTTCCTTACTTTAATCCTACTGGGTTTACCATCGAAACCTTTGTCTTGCTAAAGCTACCTGCTCGACATCAGATCCGTACCTTCAGAAGGACTTGAGACCCCTTCTGCCTGTAACTCGCTATCATCGTTCACCTCCGTGAACGTACGCAACTTCCGCTCTTCTGTGGAAGCCGACCTCGGACTCTCAGCACGAGGTATCACTGTTGTGATCGTCGCTGTTAGATTATCCCAGTCCGCACGCGACACACGTCGTAACAACATGCACTCTTGCTCTACCAGAGTCAGCAACGCAGAATGTGGCATCTCACAGCTGGTGGTCCACATGGATGGTCTATAGTGGAGCTCAATCAAGAGCTCATCCTTGAAGCGAGAGAGGAGATTTTTAACATAGATCGCGATCAAGCCCTCAAGACACTCAGACAGGTACAAGAATCCTCTCACAATAGGCTTTAGACAGACGACTAACCATTCTCACATCACCATACAAACAGCTTACAGGACAATTCCCCTCCACACATCTCAATGGCCCGCAAACATCATTCGAGTATCAGACTCTGAATTTTGCATAGATACCTGCATGGCGTTCGGAGCTGCTCCATCTGCAGGAGCTTATGGTCATGTAGCAGATGCAGGTGCAGAACTCTTTAGGCATCATGGCATTGGCCCCTTAGACAAATGGGTAGATGACCACCTTTTCATTCACATCCCGCGAGAACATTTAGCTGAATACAA